GGCGCCTATAGTCCCAGGCACTCAGGAGACTGAGGCAGGAGAATGGTGTGAAATCGGGAGATGGAGCTTGCAGTGAGCCGAGATCGCGCCATTGCAGTCCAGCCTGGGAGACAGCGAGACTGTGTCTGGAAAAAAAAAAAAAAAAAAAAATTATCTGGGTTTGGTGGCACACACCTGTATTCCCACCTACTGGGGAGGGTGATGTGGGAGAATCACTTGAGCTCAGGATTTTGAGTCTGTAGAGAGCCGTAATAGTGCCATTGCACTCCTGGACTCTGTTGCCTTGGCAATAGAGCAAGACCCTGTCTCAGAAAAAACAAACAGTTTGTAAAAGACAAACAGAAATGTGACTGCCTATGTGTGGATGAGAACGTTGTGGGCATAATTTAATATATAGCTGGTTTATGAAATATTTTAAATAAAAATTTTATATAAGTAAACAGACGACAGATTTATCACCACTGAGGATATCTGAAATGATTACATACCAGGTTAAAGAAAACATGTAAACAGGAGACTAAGATAGGAACAAATCTAATGTTAAAGTAAGTTCTTGTATCTGTTTTAATATCAGTAACATTACTTTGTAATTACAAGTCAAAAACTTTTATTTCCAACTATTTAAAGAAAATTTTTATAATTTTAATTTTCGTGAAGTCTCTTACCCCATACCTTTTCAACTGAAGTTTTTGAATGTGAATTCTTGCTCTCTGCCTCTGTTTTGCCTTGTGAAAGAACTGATTTCTTCCCAGCCCTTGACAAATTGGGTTTGGGTTTCTGGAAGCGACCTCTCAACATCGGTTTAACATTTTCTGTTTGATCAATTTCCCTGAAAAATTAACATTATTTAAATAGCATCAAACATGCAGTCATGTCCAAATGAACTTCTAAAATAACCTACTGAGAACTAGGAAGAACTCCTTTAAGAGCTTACTTAGAACAAGAGTAGCAAAGAAAACTTAGAGAGACTAATTTGTTCTATCTGATATTAAAAATATACTATTCATCATCAGTAATTAAAACAGTGTGGTACTAATATATGAGTAAACAGATAAATGAAACAAATTTAAAATCCAGAAACCAACTTCAAAATAGACATGATTTTGGCATATATTGAAGGTAGCAACTCATAACAGGGAGGATAAGATGAAATGCAATACAATACGGTGAGAATAAAACTTAAGAAATATTAAGTAAGATTAAGATGATGGGAAGGCCGGGCACGGTGGCTCACACCTATAATCCCAGCACTTTGGGAGGCCGAGGTGGGTGGATCACCTCAGGTCAGGAGTTCGAGACCAGCCTGGCAAACATGGTGAAACCGTTTCTACTAAAAATAACAATAATTAGCCATGCATGGCGGCATGTGCCTGTAGTCCCAGCTACTCAGAAGGCTGAGGAAGGTGAATTCCTTGAATCCGGGAGGCGGAGGTTGCAGTGAGCCAAGATGGTGCCACTGCACTCCAGACTGGGTAACAAGAGCAAGACTCCATCTCTGGATGTGGTGGTGAGCACCTATAGTCCCAGCTACTAGGGAGACCAAGGTGAGAGGATCACCTAAGCCTGGGACCAGGTCGAGGTTGCAGTGAGCTATGATCACACCACTGCACTCCTGCAACCCTGTCTCAAAAAAAAATCATAAATATTTAAATGTGTAAGTGAGTGTGTGTATACACACACACACATTCTGTCAGCAAGCAATTCAATTTTCAGGAACTTACCCTATATACTTGTATATAGGCAAAAAGATAGAGGTGCAAGACTATAAGCACTGTTTAGCAACACAGCCTACATAGCAGTCAATAGGGCACTGGTAATACAAACTATGATGCATACATATACAGAACACTATTAAGCTATAAAAAGAACAAGGAGAGTTACTACATAAGAATATGAAGACAGAAGAAAACCACTGCAAAATGTTATATATAGTATCATTAGGTTTGTAACAAGAGCAAAAAATATAAATTTGTATTAGCTTGAATGTATTTTTTTAATCTCTGAAAGAATATAAGAAATAAATAACATGGATTATTTGTTTGAGTGAAACGGGACAGGTTAAGAGGGAGAGCTCAATCATACCTTTTTATACTTGTTGATGTTTGTACCCTATGAATGTATTGTCTATTTCAAAGACTAACTGACATTTTGATTTTTTAAGAGTTTGATTTCCATTGTGACAGTACTTTGCTGAAAAATAAGAATTGATGAAGTGAATAGCTTTCTTTTTTTTTTTTTTTTTTTGACAGAGTCTCGCTCTGTCGCCCAGGATGGAGTGCAGTGACGTGATCTCAGCTCACTGAAGGCTCTGCCTCCTGGGTTCACGCCATTCTCCTGCCTCAGCCTTCTGAGTAGCTGGGACTACAGGCACACCGGCTGCCACCTGTGCCACCACCATGCCCGGCTAATTTTTTGTATTTTTAGCAGAGACAGGGTTTCACCATGTTAGCCAGGATGGTCTCCATCTCCTGACCTTGTGATCCGCCTGCCTCGGCCTCCCAAAGTGCTGGGATTACAGGTGTAAGCCACTGTGCCCAGCCCATAAACTGAATAGCTTTTAAGCCCATATGAAATGAGGAATTATGAGGAAGATTAAAAGGAAGTATAAAACCTTCAGATATCTCTTCAAAGGGAGATTTTTATGACGCTTTTAATCATTTCTTGAGAAGATATTAATTTAACCAGTATCTGCATACTGGAAGATACACTTCCTTGAAATCACCAATATTAAAATCTATTATTTTGACACCAGGCATAAAAAATAACTCAAACCAAGCAAAAGTAAAATCTCACGGCAAATATTTAGGCTTCCAAATTGTTTTTGAATTTTGTAAGTTACCACCTTCCTAAAATTCATATATTATACAACAAATATGAAAGAGAATCTTTCTGCAATTAAATATAAAAACACCTGATGTTACACTCTGAACAGACTACAGTATAATTACATATTAAATGATTCCCTCAACTATTAATAAACTATGTATTAATAGTCCCCTTGAATCCCTAAATAAAGCAACATTATTATCATTTAAGAACCTTATCAAAATTTTATAAATAAATCCTATTGTATAAAATACTCACAGTGAATTATTTTTTAGGTCAACATTTCTTTCTTCTGTACAACTACCCTCAGCATCATTCACCTCACACGATGCTCTAATTCCAACTTCTAATGAAGGCAAATCTGAAGTGCTTGATTCCGAAGACTTAGTTGCTACTGATGCGGCATCTTGTTGATTACTAAAAAAGTGAAAATATCAGAGAGAAAAGAATTCCTAATAATATATCTTTTATAATAATTATTTTTAAAAATTTTAAATACACAAAATCACCATTTTGCAAGATGCTGCTTCAAATTACAGAATAATACAAACTGCTATATTAGCTTTTCTATGATCCATCTTGCACCATGTTACAGAAACTGTACCTCCAGGGAAAGTAGCAGCCACAAATTTACACGTTTAGGAACATGCTCAAGAAATTTCAAAACGAAGGCCGGACAAAGTGGCTCACGCCTGTAATCCCAGCACTTTGGGAGGCCGGGGTGGGTCGATCACTTGAGGCTAGGAGTTTGAGACCATCTTGGCCAACATGGTTAAACTCCATCTCTAATAAAAATACAAAAACTAGCTGGGCATGGTGGTGCAGGCCTATAATCCACCTACTTAGGAGGCTGAGGCAAAAGAATCACTTGAACCCGGGAGGTGATCACACCACTGCACTCCAGCCTGGGTGATAGAGCCAAGCTCTGTCTCAAAAAAAAAAAAAAAAGGCTTCAAAATGAGAAATTATTAAATGTGGTTCACAAATCAAACATGCGTAAAATAATAGTAACATTTAGGAATTAGCTTTCATTAAAATTTATATAGGCAAGCCTTGCTATGCAGGGTACTGTGAAAGTCATATAAAGCAAAGACACAGCTCCAATAAGCTCAAGTTGCAGTTAACATAGTCCTATGCAAAGTGAGAACTACTATATTAAAAAATATTTCAATTATCAGCCAGGTGTTATAGAACGTGCCTGTAGTCCCAGCTACTCAGTCCAACGCTTAAGCCCAGGAAGTCGAGGTGGCAGTGAGCTGAGATTGCACCACTGCACTCCAGCCTGGGCGATAGAGCAAGACTCGGTCACAAAATAAATTTCAACTAACAATAATATAACTGAGAGTCATGCACTGACCATTTCAACACATATTCACATTTAGCCATACCTTTTTTTTTTTCTTTTTTCTCGCTCATTTTTTCTACTAGGTGTTCATCTTTTCCTGACTTATCAGCAAGAGTTCTCTATATATTTTTATTGTCTAGATATTACACATAAAATCTCCCGATCAGTAACTTGCCTTTTATTTTCCTTATGGAGGATTTGTTAACAGAACTACTTAATTTTACTACCATCAAACTTACCAAACTTATCTTTTAAGTCTGTGTTTTCTATGTTTTAATAGAAATGTCTTACCTCAGGCCTTGACATTACAAAGATATTTTTCTACATTTCTTCTAAAAGTTGTAAAGATTTGTTTTATACATGTAGTCTTCAATCCATCAGGAAGTTAGCGGATATGGTAACACGAGGATTAAATATTATGGTTTTCAAATCTGAGCTCAATCTGATGAATAGTTAGTTCAATCTTTGCCCGCTAATTTCTAAAGCTACCTCTGCCATATGACAGATTCCTAAATGTCTCTTCCTAAACTCTATATTCAGTTCCGCTGAGTCAATTCATCTAACCCTGTACCAATACCATGCTGCTTTAGTTACTGTAGCTTGAAAATTAGTCTAGGACAGTCCCTCTCCAAAGCTGGTATTTTTTAAACCTGTCTTTACCATTCTTGAGCCTTTACTCTTATGTACACGACAATTTTACAATCAACTCTTTGTTTTCCAAAACCAACTGGGACTTTAACGATCATTACAAGGTTGTTTTCCCCTAAAGTAGAAAAAGTTAGGGCCACAGTGGCTCATGCTGAGGTGCGAGGATTGCTTGAGCCCAGGAGTTTGAGACCAGCCTGGAAAACATCTCCACTAAAAAATGTTTTTAAAATTAGCCAGGCATGGTGTCCCATGACTGTAGTCCCAGCTACTCGAGAGGCTGAGGTGATAGAATCATTTGAGCCCAAGAGTTCAAGGTTGTGGTGAGCTATGATCATGCTACTACACTCTAGCTGGAGCAACAGAGTAAGACCCTGTCACAATTTTTTAAAATTATTTTAAAAATTAGAAAAAGTCATGAGTAGTTTTGTGTAGTTTACGAAACTAGGTGTATCTCTGATGTCACACTTTAGATATCTGTCACCTAGGAACAAACAACTATGAGAAATAGCATGATTTCACTTATGTGAAATATCTAGATTAGACATAGAAACAGAAAGTTGTCTACAACCTTACCACTCTTAATGGGCCTAATTTGATCTCAAACTAAGCAAGTCTGGTCCTGATTAGTACATGGATGGGAAACAGAAAGCAGATTAGAGATTATCAGTGGTTGCAGCGAGGGGAGAATGAGGAATTACTGCATAATGGGTGCAGGTTTTCTGTTTACAGTGATAAACAGCTTTAGAAATAGTGCTGATGGCTGCACAACAATGTAAATGTAATTAATGCTACTAAATTGTATGCTTAAAAACAGTAAACAGCTTTAAGTTTGTTTTTGGCAATAGTTTCTTAGATATGACACCAAAAGTATAGGCAACAAAAGCAAAATTAGACAAATGGGACTACATTGAACTAAAAAGCTTCCGTACACCAAAGGAAACAGCAGAGTGAAAAGGCAATCTATGGAATGGGAGAAAATGTGTAAATCATATTTCTGATAAGGGGCTAAAATCCCAACTACATAAATAATTCTCAAAACTCAACAGCAAAAAAGAAAATAACCTAATTAAAAACTCGGGCACAGGACCTGAATAGACATGTCTCCAAAGAAGATACACAAATGGCTAACAGCTACGAAAGATGCTCAACTCAATAATTATCCGGGAAATGCAAATCAAAACAACCATAAGAAACCACCTTCTACCTGTTCAGAAGGACATTATTAATAAAATGAAAGATAACAAGTATCGAAGAAGATGTGAAAAAAACTGGAACCCTTGTACATTGTTGGTGGTTACGTAAAATGGTGCACCCGCTATTGGAAACAGTATGAAGGGTCCTCAAAAAATTAAAAGTAGAACTACCACATGATCTAGCAACCCTACTTCCAGGTATTCATCCACAAGAAGTGAAATCAGGACCTCAAAGAGATATTTGCACTCCCATGTTCAGTGACGACAACAGACAAAAACAACCTAAATGTTCATCAACCAATGAATGGATGAAGAAAATGTGGCCTATACATGTACTGTAATATTATTTGGTCATAAAAAAGGCAATCTTTTCATATGCTACAATATGGATGAAAGTTGAGGACATTACATTAAGTGAAATAAGCCAGTTACAGAAGGAAAACTACTGCATGAGGCTGGGCGCTGTGACTCACACCTGTAATCCCAGTACTTTGGGAGGCCAGGGCAGGTGGATCACCTGAGCTCAGTTCAAGACCAGCCTGAGCAAAATGGTGAAACTCCATCTCTAACAAAAATACAAGAAATTAGCCAGGTGCAGTGGTACATGCCTGTGGTCCCAGCTTCTTGGGAGGCTGAGAACGGAGGATTGCTTGAGCCTGGGAGGTGGAAGTTGCAGGGAGCTGAGATCGTGCCACTGCACTCCAGCCTGGGTGACAGAAACCGACCCCATCTCAAAAACAAAACAAAACAAACAAAACAAAAAAGAAAAAGAAAGAATCATGATTGCCAAGGGCTGGGAGGCGGAGGAAATGGGAGTTGCTGTTCAATAGGTACAGAGGTACAGTTATGCAAGGTAAAAAAAAATTCCAGAGATCGGCAATACAACACTGTGCTTATAGTTAACAATACTGTATAGTACACATAAAAAATCTGTTAAGAGGGTAAATCTCATGTTTTTATATTACAAATTAAGATTTTAAAACACACACACACACACAGAGCAGGACACATCATATTCAAACTAATGAAAACCAAAGACAAAGAAAATCATTATAGAAAATGACAAACCCATGTAAACACTAACCAAAAGAAAGCTACAATGGCAAAGTAAACATCAGAAAAAAAGAGCAATACCAGAAGGATAGTACACAATGATAAAGGGAATTTCACCAAAAAGACAAAACAATCCTAGATATGTACACACCTAACAACAGAGCTTCAAAATATATGGAGCAAAAACAAATAGAACTGAAAAAAAGAAACAGGCAAATCCACAATTACAGATGGAGACTTCAACACTCCTTTCTCAGTAATCAACAGATGTGGGTAAAACCAGAAAACACACAGAAAATACCTTAATGAAAGGATGGGGTCAGTTCTTTTCTCAACTTTTTCACTGGAGGCAAAACCCACAATGCCATCTACGTTTTGTGTGCAGGAAAGCATCTGCTCCTTACTGCATTCACCTTCCTTTACCTCGGGCCTTATAGCCTGACATTTATCTACAAATACAAAATGCATGTTATTCTAAAAAATGACAGCAAAAACACATTTTTTAAAGCACAAAGGAATTTACCTATAACACTGTCTTTTCCTACAAAACCTTAATCCATTCAACATTCAAATTCCTATTTGCAAGGCACACATCTTATTTTTAGACCACAATAAAAACTTAACATAGATGAGGATCAGCCCAAGCTTCTTAGACAGTTTATAGCATCTTTCTTTTATCTTAAATTCTGAGTATTTAAAGTGGCTTATTTTATATGTCAAGTAAGGACACTAAAAGTTGACTTAACTATTCTTTTGCTCCTTCAGAAGTATACCAATTAGTAACAAAGTAATAGCTATCATTTATTAAGTACTTATTAAGTGGCTGGAACCCTTAAGTCCATCAAATGCATTATCTCATTTAATACTTGAAACAAACCTGTTAAAAGATATTAATATTAACCTCATAGAGAACCCCCTGAGTTCAGAGATCTTAAGTAACTTGCCCAATGCAATACTTAAGCAAGTAAAAAAGCTGGAATTTAAAGCAAGGTCTGTTTGATTTCTAATATCTGGTTGTGAATCATTAAGCTGTTCTGCATTATACGTAATGACTCTAATGATAAGCCAAAAAAGAGCATAATATTGTGATGCCTACAAAGCATGCTATGTTAGCTACCAGGACTCTTATATTAAAATCAGATTGGTAAATCTGAACTACAGAAAACATAAATTTTATAGAAAGGTTGTTCTCGTCTGCTCCTACCTTTTCCTTGGTTATCGGCTTTAAATAATGTACATATGAATTCTTAAGGAAAGGGACCAAGACTCCCCCTCAAATTCTTAGCCCTCACCCCAAGCAACTCTTAAGTGGCAATATGTTTGCATTCAAAGAGTAAAAAAGAAAAATGGAAGGAACACATATTCCTCTAGTTCTTTTATAGGAATTAACCCCTTGTGGGTTCACAGAGGTGCTCTGTAGAGGTACAACACGAAAACCTGTGCTTTATTAACAGACATAAGCAACACACTTCAAACTATATATACATGTGATTTCTAATCATAGTTAATGGGAATGCACAGGAGGTGACACAACTTAGAAACAAACTTTAGAGAACAACCTCCCCACTTTAATTTGTTTAATTTTCTTTTTACAATAAACTTTTTTCTTTAATTAAAAATAAACAGAGTTAGCACAGTACCATAAGTACAGAACCAATTAATAAGCACCATTAATTGCTATCTAGACAGAAAATTAAGTTACATACCATATTGCTGTACATGTCTTCTCAAGTAATATAGAGGCTTTTTAAATATGTAAGAAACTTACTCTTGTGTTTTTCTCCTTTAGAAGGACCCGCCTGAACAGTGGCATTTTCTAAAAGATTGTTTACTTCCAGTTCATTAGCTCCATCTTGCTTCTTCCTTCTTCTTTTCTTTTGATTTAGGTCTACTTCTAATGCAACCTGTTCTGCATCCTTCCCTGATAAGGTCAGAGACTCTTCGTCAACTGTCTGAGCATCCTTCTGAGATCTTTCTGTGTCTGAAATTCTAGAACTCATAGACTCATCTGGATCATCATTCACTCTTTCACAGGCAATTTTTTTGACTGAAAACAAGAGAAACGACTATAAATATGCAAACAACCTAAAGAAAAATTTGCGAAGGTGGAAAAGAGACTCAAAGATGTCCTCTGTAGTATTTATTTGCAAGAACAAAAAACCTAAAGACAACCTAAAATGTCCAATGGGAAATGACTAAATAATATATAAAAATCCATGGAGCCAATAATAGTAATGAGGTAAGTTTATATGTAGTCACGGGAAAATTTCAAAGGATACTGTTGCATTAAAAAATCAAGCAGAACAAGATACACATAAAATCTTTTTTTTTTTAATCTCATTTTTATTAAACAAAAACAATTACATATAGAGATGCTCCTTGACTTATACTGGGTTTCATCCCAATAAACCCATCATAAGTTGAGTATACTGTAAATTGAAAATGCATTTAATACAGGCCGGGTGCGATGGCTCACACCTGTAATCCCAGTACTTTGGGAGGCTGAGGCGAGCAGATCATCTGAGGTCAGAAGTTCGAGACCAACCTGGCCAACATGGTGAAACCCCATCTCTACTAAAAATACAGAAATTAGCTGGACGTGGTGGCAGGCACCTGTAATCCCAGCTGCTCAGGAGGCTGAGGCAGGAGAATCACTTGAACACGGGAGGCAGAAGTTGCAGTGAGCCAAGATCGCATCATTGCACTCTAGCCTGGGCGATAACAGCAAAACTCTGGGCTGGGCATGGTGGCTCATGCCTGTAATCCCAACACTTTGGGAGGCTGACGCAGGTGGATCACTTGAGGTCAGGAGTTCAAGACCAGCCTTGCCAACATGGTGAAACTCCATCTCTAATAAAAATACAAAAATTAGCTGGGTATGGTGGCACATGCCTGTAATCCCAGCTACTTGGGAGGCTGAGGCAGGAGAATCGCTTGAATTGGAGAGGTGGAGGCTGCAGTGAGCTGAGATGGCGCCAAGGCACTCCAGCCTGGGCAACAAGAGCAAAACTCCATCTCAGAAAAAAAGTTCTGGTTGGGCGTGGTGGCTTACACCTGTAATCCCAGTACTTTGGGAGGCCAAGGTGGGCAGATCATTTGAGGTCAGGAGTTTAAGACCAGTCTGGCCAATGTGGTAAAACCCCATCTCCACGAAAAATTACAAAAATTAGCCAGGCATGGTGGCACGTGCCTGTAATCCCAGCAATTCAGGAGGCTGAGGTGAAAGAACTATTTGAACTCCAGCAATGAAGAATTCAGTGAGCCAAGATCGGGCCACTGCACTCCAGCCTGGGCAACAAAGTGAGACCCTGTCTCAAAAAAAAAAGTTCTTACATTAAATAAGATACAGTGAGTTACTCATGTTATCACCTGTAACATGATAATCACAAGAAGATATATATTTTAATCTTCTAGGATTATGTACAAGTAAAAAAAAAAAAAAAAAGATTACTGAGAATAAAGGTATTTTGCAGTTATCAATACTACTTTTTAAAAGATATGCTCCAGAAGAAGAAATTCTAGCCCAGTTTTGAACAGAAAAGAGTTAATTTAGCAGGCTTGACTGCTATCCTTTGAAAATCCTCCTTACAAGGTTGGCCCTCAGGTCATGTCTCAGAATTTGGTTCTGGGAACAGTTCCTACCACCCTAACTGATAAGAGTGGTTCACTGTGCCTTAGCCGTATAATGTGGTTTATGCTGAACTGCTTTCCTTTTGAATGTCTGAAATTTTGGTATGTTCCAGGCAAAGGATGCTGAATCCTTAGTCTTCTTGGTGAATACTCAAACCCCGGCGGTGGTCGTGGGGACCCCCAACACAGGCTCTCACAATCCTAGGTTTCAGTTCTGCCTCTGCCACTACTCACACTGTGAGTCCTTAGGAAAAAGTGTCTTACGATCGCTGGGGCTGTTTCTTGGTGATTAAAACCAATACAAAAGGGGCTAAAACGTAAACTAGCTAACATATAAGGTTCCCTATAGTTCCAAGCATCTTCTTTATGTGATTACAGCTAAACATTGTCCTCATAGATCAGAGTTCAAATAGTTAAGAAAACATAAGCCTAAAAATAAAAATACCTACATATATACAACGTCTTTCTACCTTTTACAAGTCAACATTAGCCTTCAGAAATGTTATGCTCAACCAATACAGTCTAGTCATAACCCCAAAAGATTCGAGTTCCATTTTTTTAATACTAGAATTTTATACCAGATTGGTTTTACAGAGGAAAATGATAATAAATAACCAAACATGAAATACGACACTCCAAATTCTGATGCTCTTTGACTGGCTACGACTATCCTCTATGCTAGAAAGATATCAAATAACCCAATCATGCCAGTTAAAAATTTTAAAAGAAAGCTATTGTTTTGAACCAGATAACTAATTGATTGAAAAAAGATATACTCCCTCCAACTGGATGCTTTGATGATCTTAACTACCTGAGCTACACATGAACTCTCAAAGGCCTGAGGGACAATATTACGAGTTTATTACTACTAAGTAAACTAGCACACTTTCCTTTAAAATCAATACCTTTTACATTTTTCCGTGGTTTGGTGGATTTCTTCTCCTTTAAACTGTGATTTTTAACAGATTTTTGTTTTCTTTTCTCTTCTTCAGCAAGAACTTTCTGAAGCAAATGAGCAAAAAAATCGAAGTCAAAAGGGCGCTTTTCCTCTGTTTAAAAAAAAGGAAAAGAACTTTCAAGTTTTTATTTTTCAAAACTACTTCTAGCTTTTCAAGTATCATAACATCAAAAGCAAATGGGTTTGTCTATCAGCAGGAGAACAGATAAACAAGTACACAACAGAACACCACTCAGCAATAAAATAGCTTTGTCTTAGCAGAGAAATAGGTAAATTCACATCAGAACACCACTCAGCAACAAAAGGAATAAACTAGTTTATTACAAATAATAATTTGTTTACTACAAATTTGTAATAATTTGTTTATTACAAATAAACTAGTTTTAAACAAAACACAAGGAACTACTGATACATGCAATAATCTGAGGCAATCTCAAAAACATACTGAGTGGAAGAAAACAGATACTAGGGTACATACTGTATGATACCATGTATAAGATATTCTACAACACACTAAGCTATCTATGGTGATTAAAATGAAAATAGTGGTTGCCATGGGCCAGGAAGACAGCATTTGATTGTCCAGAAAGGGACATAACAGGCCTTGTGAAGTGATGAAAACATTTCCTCTATTGTTTGGGATAGTGGTTACCCAGGCATATTCTTTGTCAAAACTCCAACTATACTTTGAACTGTGTGTAAATATAAATCAATTTTTTTATGGACTGAGAAGTCCTTGAAATGCCTATTCACCACCACATGCCCTACCTTTATCACAATCATTTCACCATTTACTCTTATAAGAATCAGCAAAGTGGGAAGTAAATGAATTTAATCAGGAACATGCCCACTAAATACCTATCAACAGCATTATATCTGAAAGTAATCAGTGAACACTCCAAGAATGAATCCAGGCCAGGAGGCAAATCCTTGCTTGAACTTTACATCTAATCTTACAGTAAATGTAGAGAAAATGGTGCTCTATGCACATAAGCCGAAGACTGGTTTGATTACAAGATAGCCTCAGAAAAGAAGGTATTTACTAAAATAAAAAGAATTTCAGGAAACTAAACCCAAATCTGGGATTCCTGAAGGCCCTATTTCACTGTTGACCCAGACTTAATTTGTTCTGACTCTCCACAATGATTCTGAAAGACATAGACTCAAAGAATCATAAAGGATCTCCACATGGTTCTCAGAGAAATTCAAAATGTAAGTTCTCTTAAAAAACCTATATAGGTTTTAACTAAAAAAAATAAATAAATAAATAAATCCAACAGAAAGCCCCCAAATCAATGAGTTGTTTTTAGTTTTGAGATAGGATCTTGCTCTGTTGCCCAGGCTGGCCTCGAATTCTTGGGCTGAAAGGATCCTCCTGCCTCAGCGACCCCTGAGAGTAGCTGGGACTACAGGCATACAACACTGTATCGTGTTTAAGATCAATAAATTTTAACGATATCTATTATAATGGTCTATAAAAGGCTTCACACTCTAAACAGACTGTTTATAGATTTATGAATTATTTTCTGACTATAATGTGTTAAACTTAATGAAAAGTTTCAGGACCACTTCTCTAACACGGAATGGGCCGAGAAACACAATATTCCAGATCTTCTAAGAATCATTCCGCAAAGCAGTTTCCCTAAAGACCCGATAAAACACTGGGTGTAGGATCTACCCACCTACCTTACTGTCTACTCATAAAATAAATGTACATGCTACATAATGTAAGTACTCTCTACATTTGGATTTTTTTTTTCTAAAATTAGCACTATGGCTAATCTTATGACTAAATGGACATTGAATATATTCATTAATAATAAAATACTGATAATTATAAATCCACAAAAAATATATTCCTGTCCACCGGTGTGGTGAAAAAGAAAAAGACCTATCTTCCAATAAAAAATTACAAGAACTATTTTAAACAGTAAATTTATTTTTCTTTATAGATCCTTAGATGTCTTTCTCTAGACTTAAAGAAAAATGTTAATTTTAATGAGGATTTTAGTTAGAAATTGAAAGATACCTATCATTCCTTCAGACGAGATCTAAATTCAAATGCTAGTATATCTCTTCAGACAGAACTTCCCTAATGATCCAATGATCATTAGGAAAAAAGAGATCTAAACAGCCACCCTCTCTTTCATCTTCTTTTTGGAAATGAATCACTACCTAAAATTATGCTTATCCACTATCTTTCTTCCCCCATCCAATTAGACTTAGGGCTCTAAATGCAGGATTCTCATCTGCCATATATCTTCCACCATTACATACTCAATACCTAGAACAATGACTACCATATAGTAGGTGGTCAGTGTTATAGACTGAATGACTGATTAGTCATTCAGAACTAGAAAGAACCATCTATATAACTAATAGTACTGTCTTCCAGAAACAATTATCTCCTCCAATACAGTTCCTTCAGAATAAATAACACTTAGAAGTGGTAGCATCAATCCCTACATAACTTCTTGGACTTAGAACTGTTTACCTGCACCTAGATATTCTGGATAATCTCCTGCCTATATATTTGTAGCAAGTACCAGACCCACACTGCTAAACAGAAAAATTTCAGACTTCTTCCTCTTATGCCAATACAAGAAGAAAACAAATCTAAAACACACTGGAGCCAAAGACAAAAGACTGGTCATTTTTTAGGCTCTCCAAGTAATACTTTGTAAAAGAGGTCTTAATACTTACGGAATGCTTTGTCTATTCTCCATCCGTTTGTTTTCTCTTCACGTTTAAATTTATTCTGTTAACAACAACAAAAAACCCTATGGTAATTTTCTCCCATAAAACAAGCTTTTTTTTCTTAAATGCAGTAAGCATTAAAATGACTCTTAGGAATAACATACTGTTCTCTACTTAATATGTCTTTGCCAATAGGCAAGTTACTTAAACCTTTGGCTTTTTAAAAATAAGGATGAAAGATTTTTACTGAGCTTCTTGATTCTCATTACCAATAGCATGAATCAGCAATGAAAGCTGGATTTACAAAGGACAGAAAAACATAAAGTCAACATACACAGAAGCAGATCAAACCTATGATTAAGGTAACTGGTATTAACTTTTAAAAAATTAAGTATTCGTATCAGGTTAAGCCTCTGACATCATCGTTCTAATATATTTCAAGTGGCACGGAGAGAAGACTATAGAGAAACAAGTGAAATTTTGAAGCAGGCCAAGTTTATCTTGACAACCTTCTATATATTAAGGCACATTTCATCACGTTTTTCTCAGCCCCAAAAATCCCTGTCCTCAGTTTACTACCAGATTACTTCCATTAAGAGGGAGATGTTTAAGGCTTAAGGCTCAATCCATCCTAAGGTCATTAGGAAGACTGAGGGCATAAGTTTGTGTCTGAAGATGTCTGATCATACACACATCATAGGAGAGGAAACAGTTAGCCAATGTTTCCCATCTATATGTCAATGATCTACAAGTTTTTACTAAAAGCAAAAAAATAAAGCTTTTTATTGAAAAAAAAAAAAAGAGAGAGAATATCACATAAAACAAAGGAAGTACTTCATGCCCCCTTCCTCCCTTCAAAAGAACTTAACCACTAATATGACCTGTAAAGCAATCACTTTCTTGTATTTCCTTATTGCTTATGACCCAAGTGTGTACTCTTAGATGCTATAGTTTAGCCTTACCCACATTTTTAAAACCTGATATGACATTAACATCTTTTACTGTACAGGTTGCCCTTCTTTCCCATTCTTTTCTTTATTTTTCTTCACAAAACTTATTACCAATACAGAAGTTTTCAAAGATAATCTTATTTCTACCTTAAAAGATCATACTGTTATTTAAACATTTCCTCAAAAGTTAACAAATGTTACCTCCACAAAAAGTGACTGGCTATAAACATTAAGTTAAATGTCCTAAAAGAAACATCAATAGGTTTCAGGCATTTAATTCTAAAACAGTGCTACCTCATATTTTACTTAATTGGTAATATAATTCAAAACAATTTAAAACTTCCTCGAAGAATGTACTGAAACTAGTTATTGATTTCATAGGTAAGAACCAGTAACAGGTCAAATTCCATGATCACAAAACAAATCCCATAATTTCCACTACTGGCCCTGACAAAGTAACTCATTATAGATAATATCCAACTCCACCACGAATGACTTTTAACACTGACAAAATATATACATCAATTATTTTCAAGCAAAGGACAATAGTCAGAGCAAGAATACAATCATGGAGAGAAGAAAAACAGACAAGATGTGCCCATGTTTACCTTGGCTCTCTGCCTGAGCTCAATTTTCCAACCAAGGAAAGGGAGGTGAAGGCCAAACAGGGTACAGCAATCCAACTAAGGCTGCAGAAGTAGGGAATCTTTAGGAGCATAGTTCTAAAAAGGAACTGTGTAGAGGGGCACCTCACAAGCCTGGGTGCAAGTACTCCATGGTACCTTGGCCTAAGTATGGGTTGCATATGTCCAGAATATAAGGCCTAAAAGAGAACAGCTGCTAAAGGGATGAGGGCAGAAGGAAGACGCTAAAAGTCACAAAACACCATACAACAATAGAGTTCAGGTGCATCCTAATGGAAAGACTTCACTAACACCCAAATACATTCACCTCAGACACCAGAAAGGTCATCATTAGAGATACAGACGATACCCTAGAGTAGCCTTTCTCTACCAGGGATGTAGCATGAGAATTAAGTACTAATGCATTAAAGCAACTACTGTATGCAATGCATTCCCTTCTCTCATTTATCTATTTACAGTATAGTATTGGTATAACCATCCTTAGAGAACTTGGAAAATAGTAACTCATGCCTACCATGAGACTGTTCTGGAAAAAGAAGAAAATAATATAATAGTAACTCAAATTATTTTCTGTAAATCAGATGAGAAATCCCATTGGAGAAAGGACGTCCTAGATTAAAGACCAGTCTAGATCTGCCTCAACAAAGCTTTAAGCCAAGCCTTAACAGGAACAAAGAGGTCAGCAGTAAATTAACGACTTTCCAGAACAAAAGTCAACACTATTTTTTATTTTGTTTTGTTTATTGAAACAGTCTTGCTGTCTTCCAGACTGGAGTGCAGTGGTGTGATCACAGCTCACTGCAGCCTTGACCTCCCAAGCTCAAGCAATCCTCTTGCCTCAGCCTTCTGAATTGCGTGTGCCACCACGCCTGGCGTGTTTTTTTGTTTTGTTTTGTTTTTGTAGAGATAGAATCTTGCCATGTTGCTCAGTCTGGTTTTGAACTTCTGGGCTCAAGCAATCCTCTCATCTCAGCCTCCCAAAGTACTGGGATGAGAGGTGTGAACCACCACACCTGGCCCCAATGCTCTTTAAAACAAAAGAAAAAACATAATCCAGACACTATACAACACATCGTTCATAATGTCTGGTATGCAATTTCCTTTTTTTTTTTTTTTTTTTGAGACAGAGTCTTGCTCTGTCTCCCAGGCCGGAGTGCAGTGGCGCGATCTCAGCTCACTACAACCTCCACCTCCCGGGTTCACGCCATTCTCCTGCCTCAGCCTCCCGAGTAGCTGGGACTATAGGCGCACGCCACCACACCCAGCTAATTTCTTATATTTTTAGTAGGGATGGGGTTTCCGTGTTAGCCAGGATGGTCTCAATCTGCTGACCTCGTGATCCGACTGCCTTGGCCTCCCAAAGTGTTGGCATTACAGGCATGAGCAACCGTGCCCGGCCTAGTATGCAATTTCAAAAAAAAAACTCATGGCTGGCCGGGCATGGTGGTTCACTCCTTATAATCCTGGCACTTTGGGAGGCTGAGGTCACTTGAGGTCAGGAGGTCAAGGATCACTTGAGGTCAGAAGTTCGAGACCAGCCTAGCCAACATGGTGAAACCACATCTCTGCTAAAAATACAAAAATTAGTCAGGCATGGTGGTGTGCACCTGTAATCCCAACTTGGGAGGCTGAGGCAGAAGAATCACCTGAACCCAGCAGGCAGACGTTACAGTGAGCTGAGATCGTGCTACTGAACTCCAGCCTGGGCAACAGAGGGAGATTCCATTTCAAAAAAAAATGGTGGGGTACGATGGCTCACGCCTATAATCCCAGCACTTTAGGAGGCTAAGGTAGGTGGATCACTTGAGGTCAGGAGTTTGAGACCAGCCTGGCCAACATGATGAAACCCCATCTCTACTAAAAATATAAAAATTAAGCTGGGCACAGTGGCTCACACCTGTAATCCCAGCACTTTGGGAGGCCAAGGCAGGTGGGTCACAAGGTCAAGAGATTGAGACCATCCTGGCCAATATGGTAAAACCCCGTCTCTACTAAAAATACAAAAAAAAAAAAAAAAAAATTAGCTGGGCATGGTGGCACGTGCCTGTAGTCCCAGCTACTCAGGAGGCTGAGGCAGGAGAATCACCTGAACCCAGGAGACAGGTTGCAGTGAGTTGAGATAGCGCCACTGCACTCCAGCCTGACGACACAGTGAGACTCTGTCTCAAAAAAAAAATAAAAAATTAGCCAGTCATAGTGGTGCACACCTGTAGTCCCAGCTACTCAGGAGGCTCAGGCAGGAGAATCACTTGAACCTGGGTGGCGGAGGTTGCAGTGAGCCATGATCGTGCCACCGTACTCCAGACTGAGCGACACAGCGAGACTCTGTCTCAAACAAAAACAAACAAACAAACAAACCCATGACAGAGACCAAAAAATTAATTGTTTGTTAAAACCCACATGACATGAGAAAAGATAGGAAAATGTGATAGTCGGGAAAAGAAAAGAAAAAGTCACAAGAGAACGATCCCATTCCCTGGCAAGCAGACTCACAAAAAAAAGAAAAAAATTAACAGATCTCAATGTGATCTAGATATTAGAATGAACAGACAAAAAAGTTAAAGGATCCATTAATTATACAGATGTTTGAGGATTTAGAGGAAAGTACAGTGAAGAGATGGGGAAATGTCAGCAGAGGAATAGAAACTATAAAAAATAACCGGAGGCGGCCAGGCGTGGTGGCTCACACCTGTAATTTCAGCACTTTGGGAGGCCGAGGCAGGTGGATCACAAGGTCAGGAGATCAAGATCATTCTGGCTAACACGATGAAACCCCATCTCCGTTAAAAAAAAAAAAAAAAAAATTAGCCGGGCGTGGTGGTGGGCACCTGTAGTCCCAGCTACTCAGGAGGTTGAGGCAGGAGAATGGTGTAAACCCAAGAGGCAGAGCTCGCAGTGAGCTGAGACCACGCCACTGCACTCTAGCCTGGGAGACAGAGCGAGACTCCATCTCAAAAAATAAAATAAAACAAAACAAAACAAAACAAAACCAGGTGGAAATTACAGAAATAAGAAATACAATATCAGAAACAAAATATTCACTAACTGGGCTTAACAGCAGACTGAAGATAAAAGACAGGGTCAGTGAACTTGATGCTACGACAATAGAAACTATCAACACTGAAATGAAGGAAAAAAGATTGGAAAAAGGTGGTCAGAGCTTTGGTAACCTATAGAATGTCACCTGGGGTAAACTATGTTAGTGGAGTTCCAGAACGAGAGAATTAAACAGAGAAACTATTAAAAGAAGTAATTTAAAATTTCCCAAATACAGGGAAAGATGCAAGAAGCTCAGCAAACTCAAAACTAAAGCTAGGCATATCATCATCATACAGCTGAATACTAAAAAAAAAAAAAAAGAAAGAAAGAAATCCTGAAAACAGCCAGAGAAATACAATTAATCATATACAGGGGCAAGAATGATATGATTACTGTCGACTTTTCATCAGAAACACTGAAAGCCAGGA